CCGCACGGGGGAGGCCGGGCCGCGGCGAGAAGGCGTCCGGGGGCCGTGGGACGCTGTGGGGGCGGGGGCTGTTCTTAGGGCACCGGTGGATCCATCCTCATCTCCGTCTCCACCTCCCCTCCTCCTTCGTTGCCTCCCGGGCTTCCTCCTCTCCTGTTGTCAGTTGGGATCAGCTGATCGGAGTGAACTTCTCCCAGCTCAGACTAACAGGAAGGCGTGAGCGGTGCAGCCCAGGGAGGGAGGAGCGGGAGGGGTGGAGTTTAACGCCGGCGTGGGCGGGGAAAGGGTGCGCACTGCCTCCTGGGACATGTAGTTCTCACCTGCACGTCCTGGCCTCACATCCCGGAAGTGAAGACACTGAATGACTACAACTCCCAGTTCCAAAGAGGATACTCTTCCCAGGAGGCGGTGGAGACCCGCCACCGAGCATTTCGGGACTTGGAGTTTTCGCTAAGACTGGTTTCAGCCTGTTGTTTTGGGTAGGGGGCCTGGAAAGGAATGGCGCTAAATTGGAGAACTAATGTAATAATGTTTAGTCCAAGTAGAAAATGGGGAGGCAAATAATTTGGTATCGAGTAACAATTTTTGCACACCAGTTCCTCAGAAATGTCTCCACTTCCCAATTTCCCCTGGTATAGACCACGAAGAATTCACAGGAGAATATAAATTTAGTACTCTTAAGAGTTTTATTTTGTCCTGGACAGTACACTCCAGGCTAATCATTAATTGTTTTTCCTGCCTTTTTCTGACTTTTCCTTATACTGTTTAAGAACTTTTGAATTTTAAATTGTCTTTAAGTTAGACCGGGGTACATTTTCAGATAACCTTTCAGGCTACAGTGCAAGCTAATGGTTAACATTGACTTTTTTTTAAATGGCCTTCTGTTTGTTTACTTTCACTTTTTTTGTTTTTCATCCTTCCTTAGAATAACACAGAGAGAGCCTGATATTAAGGAAAAGAGCAATGCTCTGTGAGATTGAAGACTGGATACTTGGTCTAGAAAAGTGCTTGATTATCGTAGGTGGCTGAGGTAAGTCACATGAGCCCTATCTAAAATGAAGAAATTAAACTGTGCGATTTCTGAGGCCTCTGCCAATACTAATGTTCTGATTCTATGTTGATAATTGTTAACCAGGGAAAAAAAACTAAAGTTAAGTGACTTGCCAGAGTTACACAGCAAATTATTGACAAAGCTAAGACAAGACTCTTGAATTACAGAACATTTTCACTTTATGATTCAAGGGACATAATTAAACTAATAGGAAAAACAAATCTACATAATAATGAATAAGCCAGGTATGAAGATTATATTGCTGAAAATGTATTCAAGGCTAGAAAGAAAGCCAACAGACTAAATTCACATTACGGAGAACTCTTATATGTATCAAAAACCAGAATATTAATAAATACACACATACTGTATAACTGCTGGCTTGGTGGTTCCAAAGCTGGATTCTATACCATGATTTGAGTCCCTATCTAAGGAACGAAGAGCTTGCTTTTCCACGTTCCCTCTTTCTTTCTCTCTCTCTGTCTCCCATGATTATGATTATTTTATTTACTAGTAAATAATCATAATAATGGGACCAGCAGATTGCATAGTGGTTGCATTGCTGGACTCCCAGATGGCTGACCACAGTTCAAGTCCCAGACCCGAAGGCTTGAAATTGGCACTGGATACGTGTGCGTGTGTGCCCAAGATCCTGAGAGGAGAATGGAAGAGAAGGGATTGTGGCATGGCCATCACCCCGGGGAGGTGATTTCTCACTTTCTATCTTACTCTCTCTCTGGTGAGCACACGTACCCTATAACAAAAATCTCTCTCTCTAAAAAAAAAAAAATTCGTAATAAATTAAATTAATATATATTTTTTTATTTCAGGGGCCACCATGTGGCGAGGTGATTAAGGCACTGGACTCCCACATGGTTAACCGTGGTTCCAGTCCCGAACCTGGTGCCTTTCTCTGTCTCTCTCTCTCATGAGCGTGCATGCCTTGTAGCCAAAATTTTTAAATAATAATAATCATAAGTTAAATAAATAATTATGTTTTTAAAACCCCATCATTTGGGA